CGGTCTCCTTCTCCTTATTTGCTCCTATTGGTATCACTTTCCTCACTGGCATGACCCAGGCCTGTCAGGGATCAGCTATTTCACTAGGCAAATTCTCCATGCATGATCTTACAACATCGTAGCTTCAGCTGCCACACAAGTGAAAACAGCTCCTAATTCTCTATCTAGCTCCAGCTCCAACCATCTTCTTTGTTCAGATCTAAAGGAAAAAAGGGAGAAAATCATATGACTATTTGGAAGAGATATCTACTCCAGAGAATGGGGACAGTGAGTGAAGCCATAAAATAGGAATGTGTTCAGCACGTCCTTAACTTCTACTGGCAGGGAAATGAAAAGTCAGGGGAGGATGTGAGCAGAGAAATGCTATGTTCTTACTGAAGTTTTAAAGGGACCATGATGTGTTGAAAATACGCTGAAAAGAGCAGGACAAGGAAGCAGGGCAACCCAGTAAGAGGGCTACTGTGGTAATTTAAACGACAGATGAGGTGATGTGGACCAGGGTAGCAGCACTGCCCTTGATAGCTGTAGCTGGCTACTGTTCTATTTTAATGGGAGAACTAAAAGCATATGAAGCCAGGCTGGGTGTAGGGTCTGAGAGAAAAGGGACACTCAGAAGATTCCGGCCTGCATAACTGGAAAGATGCAGTTCTACTTACTGAGCCGAGGGACATTGTGGGAAAAAAGGGTGGGGGAATATTGAGAAGTCGGGTTTGGATCCAATAAAATATAATAAGAGTAGCTGAAGAAGTTTTAGGATGAAGTTGGATACAGAACAGAATTTAGGAGAACAGTAACGGCGTGAGACGCATGAAGGATAATAGAAAGTGGTTGCACAAAGTGGACTGCAGGTTAGGGATGGGAGTTAAAGGATGGTTGTGTTAGGTTTTTTGACAGTGGCAGCTCAGCAGAGAAGCAGAAATAAGGAGGAGGGCAAGCCTTTATTAACTCTGAAGACACGGAGAGGATTGAGAGGCAGGGAGATGGGGGATTCTCTGACTTAAGACAGGAAGGCTGAGAATTATGAACTTTTGCTAGGGGCAGAGTTTGAGGGGCACTTTCAGTGCTACCCAAAGAACTGATTAGAGGCTCCCTTGTGTGAGTGGGAGAGATAAAATGAAGTTGCATCCAGGGCTGGAGGAGTGGGGAAGATGGAGGAAGTGGTCATTGGGAAGATAAGCTGTTGCTTTGGGGATTCAACCATGTTGGATCAGGGCCACGATAATTAGCAGTTTGTACTCGGGCCAAACCTATCACTTGGAGTTGGAATATAAAAGGGAGTGAAATGGAAAGATGATTAGAAGGAGACAGTGATTAGAGACAGTTAGATACTTGAAATTAATATTACAAATGTACCAAAGGTAAAACTTTGGTACAAGGTTATAACTACAGCAATGAAAGGCTGAAAGCTAAAAGTGTCAAAGGAATGGAGGGCCAGACATTGGAGGGGAGGCCAAGAGTGTGAAAGGCTGGGCTACCAGAAGCATCAACATGCTTATAATGCTTAGCATTATGAAGCAGTGGTGCTTAAGAATTGAAGTGCCACCCAGGAGCTACAGTCCCCAGGAAATGGAAGGCAGATAAATGCAACAAGAAGGGCAGTGGTGGTGCCTTCTCGCATGACAGCCAAAGCTAAAATTGCTCATCTTCTGGCCGCATGGGACCTTCTGCTTACCAAAACGTTATCTTTAGGCTTTCTGTAGAATTTGTTGTTACTTTCACTTTCATGAACCTATTTTTTAACTCATTATTAACTTTACTGAAAATCAATAATAATTATACAGCAAATTACAAATTGTAGACAAATATTGAAATGTGAAAGATA